TTCTTGCGTTTCATGTGTGCGCAGTACTGGAACGTGAGCGTTTTCATCCGTTTCAATGTGGACGCACAACTCTGTGAAAACGACTGAAAACGATAGTGTGGACGCGGAGCGCTTTCAGACGAAAACGCCGTTTTCAAATCTATCCGGGCTAGTGTGGACGTAGCCTAAGTCCTTGAGAAAGTGGTTTCACCCTAAACCTCTGATGATGACCCACGCCTTTTCCACACCTTGGCTCATGTGATGAGGCACATGATTAATAGTGGGTCAACGACCTCCTTAAGGGACAATCTCACTAGGGTTTAAATACCCAGGACTCTTCACCATTTTGTTTTAGAACTGAGAAAGCTTCTTGGATGAGAGGTGACGCATCTTTACAAAACTTCATGAAGTACAGTGGTTTTATTTTCCCCCAAGCTCCTTATACTACCATGATCTAGATGAGTGACCTATGACCTACACTGATAGTGTCATGTAGCAACACTTAGGAAACACACACTTAAGGGGATGTAGCTCAGTGGTAGAGCGTGTGCTTCGCATGTGTGAGGTCTTGGGTTCAATCCCCAGCATCTCCAGCTTTCATGCTATCAAGCTTCTCGGATGAGAGGTGAAACGACTTCAAGTAACTTAAAGATTTCCAGGTGCTTTTCTTTGCAAGCTCCTTTGACTCACATGTATGTTGTTGACATTTATGTGACGGACATTTTGACTGCGTGGTTATTTGTACAGTGTAGATATCTTTGAAAGTGTCTCTCAGCACACAAACGCAATTTGCTAATAGTAACCAAACTTCATGAATCACCTGACAAACGCACAGCGTAGACGTGATGGTCCTTGAGTCTTGTGGACATTTTTTGTCTTACTTTTCCTAATAGTTTCCTGAAAGCCAGAAAGATTTAGGACTGGTCATGTTTAGTGCTATAAACCTTGTCACATGTCATTTTAACCTCAGGTCAAAACGTCGATCAACTTCAGAAGCATAAAACCTGGAGCTGCTGGCATTTGAACGCTGCTCTTCTTGGGTCTTGTGGACATTTTGTGTTGATTTATTGCCGTCTGAGTCTGTTAGACTTTTCTT